GAGGTCCAGCCCCCCTTTGACTGTTTTTCATGTTTATTGTTTTATTGTCTTGTACCCCCCCTTCCCTATAGATTGTAAGCCGCCCTGAGTCCCCTCAGGGAAAAGGGCGGCCTATAACTCATAAACTCATAAACTCATAAACTCATAAATGCTGCTACTGCAGCAATAGCTGGATTTTGCTTTAATATCATTTCCTGCTCAATACTTGAACACTGATCTCCTGAAATATCTTTGCTTCCTTTCTAGCCAGGAAAGACAAATTCTGATTGACTATTAGTGTTTGCATATGTTATAGCTTTTCCATGCAAAAGTGACCATCATATTCTGGTGACTTTAATAATAAGAAGAGCCACTCAAGTCCTTTTCCGTTTAAAATGTAAAATTGGAAGGTTGTAAATTTCTTGTGCCTAGGAGAGTCCCATTATGTCTACATAAATAGTTACTAAAAATTCATCTAAGGAAGTACTTCAATATGTAATATTCTCAAGCAGAAATATTCTCATGCAGAAACATACAAATGTATACTCCTTTCTCTGAATTATAGAACACATTGTTAAATATAACAAGCAGTGAAAGGACAAGTTTCAGAGGAATCAGTCAATTTGATAAATGTGTAAGTAACAATACCTCCTCACCCAAAAAGTGATTGACAGCTTGATGTACCTTTTTGTGTAAAACTGAACAAGCTGAGGAAGGTGGCTCTTAAACAGTTTAGAGTCTAGTTATTTATAAATCTCTTGTAAAATGAAATACAGTCCAGACAGAAAACAATAAGATGGAAAAAGAACCTCATCTGTCTCAGTCCTATTGGGAGTGAATTCGGGAATGCATTTTCACTGGAATTTATGGCAGGAGGCTACTCACTACTAGCACAAGTATTTTAAAGCTTTAAAAGTTGGAAGAACCCATGGGTCTGCTTTTGATCTTTAAAAATATATATTGGCACCCATTGTATAGTTTAGTGATTTTTTCCTAACATCACCAGATTAGAAAATCACCCTTCTATTACATGGTTTTATATGTCTGGGCATTTATTTCATTCAGTCATTGTCCTGGCAGGGTAGGTATCAAAAAATAGAATTATTGGACATCTGTGAGATCATTAGATTCTTCTGTCTACATCTTTCTGCTGTTATTTATTGCTATTGGTACTTGCATACACTATCCCTAAATGAACAAAGCATGGCAGGAGAGTGATAGGTAACAGAAAAAAAATTGTTTTCCTTTCTGTAGACTTCTTTTGTAGAGAAGCACAAGCAAAATGCGATGGAGTAAGGATGGTGTCAATGGTGGGTTTCAAAAATTGTTCGCACCTACTCTGTGGGTGTGGCCTCCTTTGTGGGAGTGGCTTGCTGCCCATGTGACCCGATATGAAGATGTCGATGACACTTGTCAGAACCACCTTAAATTACTTCACACACAGCACTGGCATGCATAAGAATATGATGTAAACTTGTTTTTTAAAAGGCATCTCTGGTTTGCGTTAAAACAACTTCAACACACGCAATGTTCTGATTGTACCATAAATGCAGTAGTCATCCTTACCTTTCACAGAGGCACTGAGTTTTATAAATATGAGCATGATAGTGTAGAATAATCATATCCAAGGACCAGTGGTGGGCTTCAAAATTTTTTGGAACATCTTCTGTAGGTGTAGCCTGCTTTCCGGCTCCACTGGTGGAACCTCTTCTAACCGGTTCGGTAGATTTGACGAACCGGTTCTACCGAATAGGTGCGAACTGGTAGGAACCCACCTCTGGATGGTGTGTATCCTGCCAAAAAGAGGAAAGATCCTTTCCCATGAGCATCACAAAAGTGATGGTTGACACTTCTGTCAGACCAAGATCTTCTGAATTTAATTTCTTTTGAAGAATTTGTTCAAAGTAAAATGAGAGGCAGTTTAAGAATACAGAGTAAGATTTCCCACAGCTTTTATGCTTATCTTAAACTACACCCAATTGTCTATTTTGGGAGAAATGGCCATCTGCCTTCACACAGAAGGCCTGCACTCACCTCATTATTGCTATTATATAGCATTTTCAGATAAACACTGAAATACTTTCTCAAGAAATCTTGAGCACTAAAGCTTATTTGTAGTCAAGCTTCCATTCAATCAAAGCCTTGGAAGATGATGCCTTAACAGAAACAATGAGGTGTTCCTTATGTAGAGAATGAAATTTCAGTACATCATGTTGGAAGAGGTTTATGGCAAGCTTCCAAAGAAGTCACACCGAACACAGACTCTAACAGGAAATAACATATCAGAGATAAAGGGGATGCATTATTATTTTTTTCACCATTCTTTGTTTGGTCTAACAAAATTCTTGTTTCTCACTTCCCCACTGCATAGTATAGTTTCTTTTATTGCTTCTTTTATCCCTAAGTTATTGTGATGTCACCTCCTTTAAGGTTTTGACTTATATCTCCCTGCGTAGGTTTCCCTGCTGTCCCTAAAATTCTTTGCTGCACATTCAGTTTCCTGCCTACTTCCTTCCAGAGCTTTACATCTTTGTTTTCCACACAAAAGAAATCTTAGTGGATTTCCTGTACCTCCTTCTTATACTGCTGCTCTTAAAGTGACATTTTTTTATGTAGCAGCTGGGATATTTTGGATACTCAAGGAAAGCCATCAACAAGGCAGTAGCAGTCAGACTTCACAAGCTTTTGGGATACTAGAGTTTTGATATGCTCAACCGCCTTGGACAAAGAGAGATAATAAGCTAGCACCTGGTTTGCCCCCTGGTTTTACTTCAGATCTGTTCTCCATAGCCTTCCAAGGCCAAGTTTGGTTTACAACTCCTTCCACAGCCCTTAACATCACAACATCTGTACTTATCTTCCATGCTGATCTTGACATTCTCATCTTTTCGGTTTGCCTTTCTATAAAACACTTTTCTTTTATCTCCCAACTCGTAATTCACCATTTGACTCTACCTTGCCCTGTCTTTAAAAGATTTGGAAGAGCATATCTAAGGATACATGTCATTGTAAGGTCAGTAGCTTTGCAAGAATTTTGTCTTCTGTTAGCATGTGTGGATATTGGGCGCATGAGCATACGACATCCAACAAGATTCCTTCATTTGTAACGACAGAACTTGAAACTGGACACTTCGTAGAAGCACCATCCATGAAGCTTCTCTTGTTTTTAGGTAGGTGATTTCCTTTTCTAAATAAAGATTAAGACTAAATTAGAGTTAGGAAAGAAACAAGGTTCTTATAACAATTGAGAAATCCCTTTATGGTAGTTGCTACATTTTACAAGTGCAACAGATATTTAGCATTGTAAGAACTGGCATGCAAGAACCCTTATGGATTCATTCTCATTGAATTTGGAGGAGAAATTGTACTGTAATAAAACACAGCCAAAGAAGATTTATTTGCTTATAAATGGACAGATATTTTTTTTTAAAAAAAAGATGCGTTCTCTGCTTGAAAGAATAATAACAACATATAATAATGCCACAGATAATATAAACCAGTTCATTGTTATATTTAGAAACTTATTTAATCTTAACCTTTAAAATATATTTATTATTATAGTTCTGGTCATCATTATTCAAGAAAGCAGCTTCTGATTTTTGTGAAGCAATTCATCTTATACTTGTATATTAGGATTGTGATCCATAAAAAGCAGTATGTAGGTAAATAGGTTCTCTCCTGTATAAATTGGTTTTACACAAACACTTCTTGATCATTAGGCTATAGTTTTAAAAAAAAAACTTGGGAGTAAATCCCTCTGAGTGTGTTTTTGACTGCTGCTAATCAGACTGTTGATCTGGTCATTCTTTTTTCATTATATTAATACCCACAAGCAAACATGTGCATATATTTATATATGTAAGTGTGGGGAGATGTGCATGTACACACACACTTAAGCACACATACACATATACTCACACGCATATATAAAACAAAGGGAAGAATTTTTACGATAGCATGGAAAGAAGAGCAACATAAAATATGACAGAGACAATAAAACATTCCCAACAAAAATATTTTCAAATGCTTACTCAGACATATAACTATTTTTAAGCAGACCTTTTAAAGGTTTAGTGGTGGGGATGTAATTCTTCATTTGGGAATAGGATGCTTCGGGTTCCTACTAGTAAGTCCCAAACTGATTGAAGTAGAGGTAGTTTTAAAATTCGGCATGTGGTTATACTCCTAACATCAGCCGTTTCGTGTTGCTTTTCAATCCCTGTAGTGTTTCTTGCCACCCTGCTGGATAGTTGCTACAGCCTCCAGAACTGTACCAACCCATGTCACAAGCATGCCAAATGTGAAGTTCGCAATGGAATCCATGGTTGTTACTGTAGCCCAGGATTCACCGGACCTGGGATAGATGCAGATGGCAACAGTGGTTGCTATGGTGAGATGCTAAGCTTTGTCTGATAACTTTTCCTCATTTTGGCAGCCTTGCAATTACATCAAGCATCATATGGGAGAACACTAAATGTAGATGTATGAAGGTTGTATGGGCAATATAGGAATGCTATGGCTCCTTTTGCGAGTCATAGGGAAGAAATGCTTTGAATCCTGCCCAAGTAGAAAGCCAGGAGTTACCTGTTTTTAAAGCAGACTTTTTAGATTTCCATGCAAACCTGGGGGGGGGGGGGAGATACTGTTGTTTCAGGCATTAATTCACTAAAATTAAATAATGTCTTAAAGCAACAGCATCCGTTATTTTCAGACTCACTCAGAAGTCCAAAAGGGAATGTGGCTGCTTTAACTGGTGAGGCATGGAGGGGTGGGGGGGGGGGTTGTTGGAAGTTATGTTCCTACAAAATCTAAAGCAGTTTTTCTGAATCGTTCTCAGAATGTGTACAGCTGTATCATGTAGTTTGTTTCTGAAATTATGCATTTCTTACGGCTTGTGCAACTGCCCAGGCTAATAAATCCTTAATTCTGGAATTCAGGTAGTGTGTTGTGATGCCATTGCAGCTCCTGACAAACAAGCATTAGCAGCATAAGGTTTTCCAAACTGTGACTGGACCATATACTGCTTAGCGCAGTCGTCGATTGTTAGCTGGATGAAAAAAAATCAATGGCAATAAAAATTATACTTTATAATGCCAGTTTTCTGGAAATTATATCCTGTTTGTTCAACTGTCACCTGCAAAGTTCTTACTCACTGTCACTTTGCTTTGAAGTAACTTTCAGAAGAGAGCTACGGAAACAGAACCACTGGAGAGGGATAATTATTTGTTGATTCCTCTCTAGGTTTTAGGTGCTAATGGAAGATTTTATCTGTGGTTCTGAGTTTGAATAAATGCTTAACCTGTCATTCCAAGGCATGTTTATTGTCAAACTATTCCCAAACTATTCAGTAAAGTTCTGCCTTACCAAATAAGCTTTTACAAGATAGCAATATCGGCCGCTGATTCTGTGCACATTTTCAATGTGTCATTATTACAGCTATTAAACTGCCAACATAAAAACACAGATTAAATATTCATATTTGTGCATATTGTAAGCACATATAACAAATATAGAAAATAATCTGTTGCAAATACAACAGATGGCAAATTAATGCTCATTCTCATGTTTATATTCATGATACCTTCTATCAAATTGTAATAAATGTTGTTCTATGGTGTTTCTCAAGATATTGATTACAGTAATATATTGCATTTTTGCTGTCTTACCTAATTGTTTTGATGTTTATGATCAATCCTCTCCTTCATTAATAGAAAACCAGATTCCAATTTAAACTCACAAAATGCCAGAGAATTTTGTTGTATACTTGAGATATACAAAGATGCAGCTTTTCAAATGAAGAGTACCCCAAATCAGCATGCAAAATTTCTGACTATATTTTATATTTTTTATTATCAGATCCTTCCCAAGTATCTAGGATAATAAAGCTACCATTGTAATATTAATTAAAATATATTTATAATAAATAATATTAATTTCATCGCACAGCCAGCCAGATGTTCAGACTGGATTTGGCATTTTTATCCACTTATTGACTTCTTCTCAAGGACTTGGCATAGGGAGATGTTGATGTTTTATTGTGTTAGAGGTATGTTTTCCTTATTTCCTTTTTGTTGGCTTCCTTGAACTTTTTGTGCTAGAATGCAAAAAAGAAGTATTTTAACTAAAAGAAACACTTCCCACAGCAAGGAAATATTGTGTCTAAGAACTAGATAATAGAGCACTTTAAAATTAAAAGAAAAAAATGTTTCTTGAAGGCAGTAACCATTTGGGGTTAATATTTTCTGTCTTCTAAGAACATATCTACTATCTTGTTGTAATTGGATAAGATCTTAGAAGGATTAAAAGGCAGTCAGGATAATAATTAGCTTGAAGCTAAAATATGGAACAATGCTTTGACTTAATGATATGTTAGATACTGTGGTTTGTGCCCCCCCTCCCAGTTCATTTTTTTCATAGAGAGGGCTTTTACTGTTGTAGAGATAAATGCTGGCTTCATTTTAATTGATAATCTTTGTTAGCAGTTGTTCTTCTATCAACACAGATTCATTTTTGTGTGCTCACAGGAATCTCAGTTCCCCAAATAGCACCCACAGTGAAAGCATATTAGTTAGATAGGTGGTAACGTTCACTGTTACTGTTATTAGCATCAATTTAACAATTTTGCACCTGTTCAGTAATAGCTAGTTTTTAATGATATTGTTAATGATGTTATTTAAATACTCATTTTTCCCACTCTATTTCTGGCACTTTTTTATTGGAATAATCAAAGAAGCCACAGGAGCTATTGCTTACAAAAATAAAATTCAACCTTTGGAAAAAAATAATTTATGATGGTAAAGAAAAGATCAAAGTTATCAATTTAATTTCTTCTAAGCTTATTCAATCATAAATCTAATTCCTAACTGTTGGGAAAAGCAGGATAATTGCATCCTGAGTAAAGTTTCAATTCTCCTTGAGCAGAAAGAAATGGCTGGGAGCCAATCTTTGTCATTTATGTTTCACCTCCCAGGATTCATTGATTATCAGATTATAAATTGACTATTAACAATCAGATTATTAACTAACTATTAAGAGCACCATGTTTCCGTCACCTCTTTCTTTTGCAGAAAACATCTGCCAATAGCTTTGGGAACTTCTCCTTCAGTAACTCTTGATCCAATCTAGAACTACAATCTGTTTTCTCAAGAATGACAGTGATAGGAAGTGGCTTGAGTACCATATAACTTTTATTATCCTTGCCGCAAGTGAACTTTAAAAATCATGGAGTTAAATTGCTGCCAAATCTCTAGGGCTTCTGCAATAACTCTTAAAATCTTTCTCCCTGCCCCAGAATATGAATCCTGGGACTGTTCACATATATAGTCTGATCTTCAATACGAATACATGCGTACAGCAATATGTGCACTCTCTTTCTTTCATAAAACACACACAAATACAAATCCATAATCAAATTTTTCCAGCATATGTGCAGAATGATGCAGAGGGTACTAAATTACTTGAAGGCAGTTCAGTAGTTTAGGTTCACAAAGAGCTCTTCACTTACTGTAATTTCATTGTTAATTTCAAGCAACAAACTCAAATATTTGGTGGTGATCTATTATTCCTTTGGGTATGTAAGAAGGGAAAGGAAGGGAAGAGAAAGAAGTTAAACAGGATGTGGAAAAGTGTGGAAGGAATCAGATGAGGGCTTTGTATTTGAAGATTTAACCATTTCTGTAAATTACAATTAGTTTTATATTTGATTCAAATGCAAATTAAATCTTTGTAGAAAATTGCAGAAAAATGGAATTGGTGCTTCCCTGGTTTTCTGTGAGCCGCCCTGAGTCCCCTCAGGGAAAAGGGCGGCCTACAAATGCAAATAAAACCATAAAACCATAAAACCATAAAACCATAAACCATA